TCTCGCCATGACGGATCGAATCCGCGACGCGGATCTCACCAACCTGGGCGTCTACCTCGACGATCGGCCGGACGGCCAGCCATCACTCATCAAGTTCATTCCCGCGCCCGAGCTCATCCGCGCCCGAGAAGAAAAGGCCGCGCGCGAGGCCGAAAAGGCCGCCAAGAAGGAAGAAGCACGACTTGCTCGTGAAAAGGCCGAGCGAGAAGCCAAAGAAAAGGCCAAGGTGGCCCCAGAGGACATGTTCAAGAAGGACGAGCGATATGGCGCTTGGGACGACACGGGCCTACCCACCAAGATGAAGGACGGAAGCGACGTGCCTAAAAGCCAAATCAAGTCGTTGAAGAAGTTGTGGGATAAGCAGAAGAAGGCGCATGAGGAGCTGAAAGCCAGAGGTGAGCTTTAGGGGTTGTGCATATCAAAAATTTCGAAATTGTTTTTTAATTTCTTTTTTTTTTTTTCGTTTTACGCATGAAGTTGAAACACGGAAGAAGAAGAATGGGGTGGAAACTAGACGACGTTGATTTTTTTTTTTTTAAACAAGCCTCGACTAGATGATGTATATAGACGTATATATTCTTGTTTCCACTGGCAGTCTATATTGCAAGTCCTAAATTGGGACTAAAACGCCGGCTATTGCGGCAGACATTTTTGGCCCTGGGATCGTGTGTTTTGAACATATGCAGCCATCAGATACGCCCGTTTAGAGTGGTACAAACTTTTTTGAATTTTTTTTATGGGGGGAGGGAGGGAACAGGCACTCTACACCGCCGGCATTGAAAGGTAAACGATCCAGAATAGATTATGCCGTGGCGAGAAGGATGCAGTTCCGGCCGTTGAACAATCATACTCTACCGAACTGCATGTCCCACGTGCCAGGATCCTGCAAAACGACGTCACAGCTCTGCCTTACAAAAACTCATGACGAGAAGGGCAAGCTCATAGGACGGCTAAGCGGCCGTCGACGCAACATTCAACACTGAGGAATGAATCAAGCCTTGACGCCTTGACGTCAGCGATGCGGTACTACAGCTGCCAAGGTGGGCATCACGCGCGTGCAAGGCAGCCTTCACAGGTGTCAAACACACAAGCACAAAAACAAAGATGAAGATGAAGATGATATAAGAAAAAAAAAAAAAGAAAAAAAAACAAACGGCCGTCCCCACTTTCTCGTGTTTATTTATTACCACGGTGGGATTGGATAACGTGGGCGTGTTGGTGTTCTTTGGAGGTGATTGGAGGTGATTTGGCCATCGGGGCTTTTGTTTTCTCGTACTCGGACTTGCACTCTGCTGTCTATACTGTGTTTTTCGCTCCGAAAAGCATTTTCTACGCCTTTTCTCCAATAAAACGGAAGAAAGAAGAAAAAAACAAAATGCTGCTTCGAAGTTCCTACCTCGCCTACAAGCGGGAGACGAGCAGGCTGGTCTATTTGCTCGTCACGGCCAGCAACGCCATCCTGTCCGTCAAGAACGTGAACGCCAAACTGAACACAAGCGGGAAGCTCGACTCTTCCGGCTTCGTGCCATCGGCCGAGTTGATTGGCAAGCACATGAGGAGCGTTCCGCGCGAGATTCTTCGGCTGCTCAAGTCGGTCATTGAGCTGCGCACAAGTCACTATGCGGAGTTCCAGCGCCGCGTCTCTGCGAATCCGAATTTCCGGATGGAGGAGAGCAACAAGAGCCACAAGCACTTCATTGACGTGCTGTCTCGGGCGTTTGAGATTCTCGGAGGTGAGAGCGGGCTGGAGCTGAAGAAGGAGGAGGCGGAGGAGGCGGAAAAGGCGGAGGCGGATGAGAGGGAACTCAGCAATGAAGACTTCCAAGCAACTTGCTCCAACATGTTTGCGCATTTGGACCTCCAGGAGGATGTGGATGGCAGTGATGGAGAAGATGATGACGGATCCGTCTGCGATGCCGGTGACGTCTCATCGCACGTTGCCAGACGCAACCTCACGAAAAACAAAACCGGCAAGTCGACCCACGGAAAGGGGTCTTTGAAGATCAAGAAGAAGCAGAAGAATAAGAAGAATAAGAAGAAGGACAAGCACCTCAGTCGCCTCGGCAAAATGTCCATTGAGCAGTATGGTATCTTGGACGATGACCACCACATCGCGGCAGAGTATTTCCTCGCGGCCTCCTCACTCCTGGAGCAGAGCATTGATCTCCGGATTCAATGCCAAGAGGCATGGTCCGGCGTGGCCCACGACCAATCTCACCCTCTTCTCGCCGTCGCCACATCGGGTCAAAGCATTGCCATGGTGCAGAAATCCCACGCGACCATCTGTAGTGACTTCCCGGGTTCCCACTCCTACATGGGTCTGATCAATACCTATACGAAAGGCGGTATGAAGAATCTGGCACAGAGAACAACCATAAGAATCAGCCAGAGACGAGACAGCGACGATTGTTGTGTGAGCATGGAGGAGACGGCTGTGTCGCGGGAACCTCTGAGGGAGTTGCTCATGGAGCATGCCTACAACGACCTCGTGGATTTCCTCCACGACTTTCGAAAGACGTCGTCCGGTGCGCCGACCAAGCAGATGAAGGCTGAGATAAGCCAGTGGGATCCAGAGTATGATCTTGAAGAAGCTGCTGATGACCAGTTACGTCAATGGCGGAGAGTGTACACGATCAATTGGCTGTACGGTCTGGTTGGCTACTACTTTGCTTCGAAGAGGCAAGTCGACCGCCACGGCACCAGCACCACACCGTCGAACAGACCTTGCAGAAAAACGGCGATGCCGTGGGCGGAGGATTACAGCTTCTTTGGCTTGGGTCAATTTGCCCGGTCCATCATCACATTGACCCGGAGGCCAGCTGAAGCACCCATAGAGGACAGCATCACGCCGGTCCTCGTCTTTCAACTTCAGTGCATCGTCGACTCCTTCACTGCCTCCCGAGGCTGGATGGTCGGAGTGAGTGGCCGCGTTGTATATCCTCCGCCGGTTGAGGATGACTTGCCGCCTGAGCAGCGAGGTGTGATGGGTTGGTTCTGGAAAGTTACGTGTGCCAACCAGTGTGAGCACCATCAAGGATTGTCCCGGTCCATCGAGCTGCTCAGAGAACTTCACGCCAAATCCCGAACTCGGCCTGGCGCTTTCGGCGAATCGACCTTTGAGCTGGTGTGGAACAGCTGGTGGCAGCATCACCGGATCGTCGTTGACCTGCGAAATGGAACCGCCCCGTGTTTTCGGCACAACGACGCGGATGGACGATTGGACGAATACGGCCTTTTTGCCTTGTCTCCCTTTCTTTGCGGCTTCGCCACGCTGCAGACCGTTGAGCTCTTCTACAGGTATGCCATGTTTGTCTGGGATACCACGCCCGAGATAGTCCTCATGCTGCACTTGCACAACATGTTGCACCGGACGGGATATCTGAAGGAACCCGTGGCGCTCATGGCCAAGTTGACGGCTTCGTTCAGGCTGGATCTCTTTGGCGAGTCCACACCGACGTGCGACTTTTACAAAGCATTTGTCGACCGCAAGGCCCCATTGCGGCCCATAACCTCGTCACTCGTCCGCCCCTTTGTCATCGAGACGCCCTCGTTCAAGCAGTTCTACATGAGCGAGCGCGTCTTCCGAACCAGGTCGTCGTTTCTCGTCTTCCACGAAGCCGGTTGGGAATCAGCCGCCGTGTCCCCCGACAGAGTGTCAAGCCTGAGCGAGCAGGCCTGGCTGCGAAACACGGTTGCGAACCTAGGAAACCGCAGCTCCTTTGACTCCCGCAAGCGTCTCGCCAAAATCCCCAAAACGGGCCACAACATCGACCTGCCTCATTTTGACCCCGAGAGCGACCACATCCACGAATCAACGGTGCTGTCCTTTGGGCGCTACGCCATGCAGCGAGACATGTGTATGTGCTGCCCGGCTCCCCTGACCGGCCTCAATCTCTTGGCCGTCACGGCCAAACTCTTGTCAATATGGCTCGCCATCGGGGAGAAGCTGGAGCTTTCGAACCATGTACGCTCTGATCACGTCGATCGCGCAACTTCCTCGTTAAGCAGAGATGCTGTTGAAACAGTGGCCACGGCCGCGCTGCGTGGTAACGACGATAGCCTCAACAAACTCTTGGCCGACGTCTTTGAAGAGACGAGAACAAAGATTGAATCCGTCTCATATTTTACGTCTGAGGATAAGAACGGGGGCCTCAAACGAGGATCGTGACGACCAAGTCGACCAAAACTCGTCGTAGAAGGGGAGAAATGTGCCAATGCTTGCGTGGCTTGAACGCGCGCACACACTCCACAGAGTGTGGAATATGAGAGACTAGGGGGCTCTCTTGCTTTTTTTTTTTTTTTTTTTTTTTCTTCTTCTTCTTCTTCTTCTTTTTTTTTTTTCGTTTTTCCTTTTTCTCATCTCGCAGACGTATTGCAATTGTCCATGTCCTTGTAAGTTGACAAACGAGAGCACACGCAGACACACACGACAGTTTCATGCATCAAGGACTCACGAGTCCTGGAATGGAAGGGGGGACATGATTGGACTTTGTGCGTGTATCCGTTTCTTCATTGTGCATTTGTCGGAAAAGAAAGAGTGCTTTTGTCCTAGAATTTGTACTAGAATAACAAGCCGATCTTGTAGTGTATGGTCGAACTATATGTTCATCCGATATGTGACGTTGTCTTTTGTTCAGCTGAGATTCCAGCAACGTCAAGAATTTGTAGACGCCATGGTGCGATGGAACATGTGCCAGGGGATTGGTCTCGATAAAATCGTGATGATGCGGAGTGTCCTCTACGACCACGTCGGAGAAGAGCAACTGGCCACGATTTTTGGATGACCTTGCTGCGTATTTTTCCTCGAATCAATGAAATGTATGAAATGGAAGAAAGCATTCTGACAATGACGGAGACAATTGACCGCGTGCAACATTCGCAAACTGAGAAGGGGAAAAATAAAGAGGCAGAAAGAGGATCATCAATTTATATATATAGCTGAAGAAGAAAGAAAAAAATCGTTTGCACAACTTCATTTGTGGATGAGGGCAAAAAATAGACTCCGATGCGGGGAATCGAACCCCGATCCCTGCGGCACTTTAAGAATTCTCTTGAAAGCGCAGTATGATAACCACTACACCACATCGGATGATTGGTAGTCTGATCCCAGAACCGTTGAGCAGTGGTCGTTTATTACTATCTATACGGCCTCACATCTCAATACACCGTCCATCTGCACCCGCCCTTCCTTCCCCTCCACAAACGCCACCGTCACCAGCACCATTCCACTCCCCATTCCACACCCAGAAAGCTCCCAACAATCTCCCGCCTCCAAGGCACCAATCCAAACGACAAGACCTGATTCAAAGAAACGACATCATCAAGACACACAGGCACACGGTCTCTACCAAAAAAAAAACCCCACCAAAAATAAAAGGCAAAAATGGCGCAATCTACCGCCCACCGCCGCCTTCTCCAAGAATACCGCGCCCTGACGAATAACCCCCCCGACGGCATCACCGCAGGACCGCTCTCCGAAGACGACCTCCTCCACTGGGAGTGCCTGATCCAGGGACCCGAGGGGACGCCCTTTGAGGGGGGTGTTTTCCCCGCGGAGCTCAAGTTTCCAAAGGATTATCCGCTCGCGCCGCCGACGATGAAGTTTGTGGCGGATATATGGCATCCGAATGGTACGTGCGGGTCGTGTATGAGGCTGGGACCGCGAAGGAAGCAGAAGAAGAAGAAGAAGAAGAAGAACCTCGAGCAAAGCATCCGCAACTTGATGAGCAACACAGAAAATTCCCATCATCGAACGGTACTAACCTACGTAGTCTACCCAAGCGGCCTAGTCTGCATCTCCATCCTCCACCCCCCCGGCGATGACCCAAACCACTACGAGCACGCCTCGGAGCGCTGGTCCCCCATCCAGTCCGTCGAGAAGATCCTCATCTCCGTCATGAGCATGCTTGCGGAGCCCAACGATGAAAGCCCCGCCAACGTGGAGGCGGCCAAGATGTGGAGGGAGAGACGACCCGAGTATGAGAAGAAGGTGCGGGATGGGGTGAGGCGGATGCTGGGTTTGTGACGGGCTGCTGATTGGGAAACGAGGCATGTTTTTTTTAGGGACTGGCCTTTTGTTATTTGTGCATTTGTAGAATGGCATGGCGCGCGTGGTGTTTGTTTTTACGAATCAGGAGTAGTAACTTTATGTTTTCTTAGTCAACTTTTTTAACGTTTTTTTTTTTTAAGAGA